CTGGATCGAGTCCCGCATCGGGCTCCCTGCTCGGCGGGGAGCCTGCTTCTTCCTCTGACCCTCCCCCCTCTCATGTGCTCTCTGTCTCTCTCATTCTCTCTGTCTCAAATAAATAAATAAAATCTTTAAAAAAAAAAAATTATGAAAATATCATATCTAACACCAAATAAATGCCATTTCCAGAGGTATTGAAAAAATCCAGGTTGCATGTAAAAGTTCTATTTGAGCTATGCTGTAATATCACTAGATTTAATAATAAAAATGGGTAAGGAGCTTCTGGACTATGGCGAGTATTTTGATATTACTATTTATGTTATCCGTCACTAAGAAATAAACACTACCTGTTGCAGTAGTCAACCACAGACTCCCTTGTTGTAAATAAAGCTTCCTCTCCTTTCTTGGCCTTTGCCCACTTTGAATCCAAAAGGCAATCCACTGCTTTTGAAGCTGAAGAAGAAATTTGTCATTTTAAATTTAGTATACATGGGAATTTATGTCTGTCTAAATAATAATTTATAAGACAAATATCAACATTCTGGCATCAGAAAATAAAACCAAATCCAGAGGAAAATGAGTTGGACATGATCACGATAAATAAACAGTTCCTTAAAACCTCAATTTATGGGCGCCTGGGTGGCTCAGTTGGTTGGGCGACTGCCTTCGGCTCAGGTCATGATCCTGGAGTCCCTGGATTGAGTCCCACATCGGGCTCCCTGCTTGGCAGGGAGTCTGCTTCTCCCTCTGACCCTCCCGACCCTCCCGACCCTCCCCCCTCTCATGTGCTCTCTCTCTCAAATAAATAAATAAAATCTTTAAAAAAAAAAAAAAACAAACCTCAATTTATGAAACATAGCAATAAGGGTCTTTTTAAAGTAATGCTGGGAAATAACTGACATTCAAAAATATTAAGTAAAATGTTATGGGAAAATGTTCTAAACAAAAACATTTAAAATAAATATAAGTATCACTCTTAATCAAATAATCACAATTAAATGTAGGCTAAACAAACCAAAAATCTTCCTCTCCCATGGTAATGGAAATTCTGTTATCAAGCTTTACTGTTACCCACTGAGAAATAAGCTCTGTGAAAAATCTACTGCTACCACCAGAAGAAGCTAAATATATTAGATCGGAAGAGAATAGCATTTATTTTTATTTTTAATGAACATCAAAATCATTAATCGTAACACTAAAGAAAGGGAAGATAACAAAATTTCTTCTCTGTAATGGCAATTCAATCTTAATCAATGAGACAGGCAAACTCAACCATTTAGTGGTTAGTGGTTGAGTTATGGGGCTATACTGTAGATGACATTAGCTTATAGTCATGTTCTTTGGGTGATGTGAAGAACCAAAGCTCCCACATTAGTTCCAACAGACTTGTTTCACACTGAATTCTACTCCAGAGTTTTAAAGAAAGATTATTTTCAAGTACATATACTATCTGAACAAAAGGTAGTATTAATACTGAAAATAAATCTTATTTTTAAAATTTGCAACAAATGGTATTACAAAGCACTTTCTTTTACCTTTTTTTTTTTTTTTAAGAGGGAGAGAGCAGGGGAGGGTCAGAGGGAGAGGGACAGAATCTTAAGCAGGCTCCATGCCCAGTGAGGAGCCTATGCAGGGCTCGATCTCACAACCCTGAGATCATGAACTGAGCTCCATCAGGAGTTGGACAGTTAATTGACTGAGCCACCCAGGTGCCCCTTTTATCTTTTGCTGTTGACATTTCCAATCATAAAAGGAAAGAACAGAATAATCAATTGTCATATGCCCATCATCCAGCTTCATCAAGCATACCTGGAAAGCACTTTTAAAACACCTACAAAACTGAAATTTAATTATCTTCATAAAATATGTACACTAGTATCATTTTACTGATATAATCCTACCAATAAAATAATCAACTCGGTGCCCCATCATATTGGTGGACTTTGTTGGACAGTTGAATCGAAGATACTTGGCTACAGCCTTCTCTTCTTTAGATGGTTCACCAACTTCCTGCAAAATAAGAATATTTAATATAATCATTTACTTCACAAATTCACGCACTGAATTTACAGATGTGTTTGGCAAATCTTTTAAAGTGAAGTATAAGCCTTTCTTTCAAGCTTTCTATGGAGCAGACCTTGTAATGTATACAAAAGACAGAATAGAGATTTTTAAAATTACACGTGTTTTAAAATACATGTTGATAGGGTCAAAACCTGCCTCTTTGCCTCAGCTACAAGGCATTTATTTATTTTGAGTTGTTTTTCCAGTATGGTAACTACTTTGTACTAGTTCACCTTCACTCTTGCCTGATCTGTTTATAAGCCACAAAGCAATAATTTAAAAGATTAAGAGGTTGCCAATAGTGAGTGCCCAAATGTCAAAAGTAAGTAGAAACAGGTGCCATAAATAAATATTAAGTAATAGTCAAAGCTATGAACCCTGAACAATGGACAAAAGACTGTAGGAGGAATTCTCAGATTAACCAAAGAGAGCTGTCTCAGTGTGGGAGCCATAAGACTATTTGAGACTCTTTTCTCACCTTGTCTTTCTTCTTTTCTTCCCTAGTAGGGGTGAAGCAAAAATAAAAATGCAATAAACAGATAAATTATAATCTAATTTAACTCATTAATGGAAGTACACAAAGAGTTTGGAAAGGCTGCTTTAATCCTTCCCTGTTTGCTTTCTTCCATTCCTTTCTCCAAATTTTCTATTATCTTCTTCATTGTTTATCATTTCCTATCTTCTTTTTATTTCCTTACATTCTGAACTACTCCTTTAAGTTGACAATTCCTCCTGTGTACTTATTCTCACCACCCATATACTGAAGAAAATGAAGGCAGTCTACATTTGTATACATCTTCAACTTGTATAAGTTGTCTTATTGCTATAAGCTACTGTAACAAAAGTACTGTCTTTAATTTCATGTTTAAGAATGATACATACTCAAGCACTACTTCCAGCAATGTATTATCTAAATGTGAATGATTTCAGGAAGGTCTGTTTCTTAACTAAACGAAGTGCCAAATATTAGTAAAGAATTATCTGCCAAGAATGTAGGATGCTGAAAACAATTAATGCTACTAAAGACAGTTATGTTTTAGACAAGACATTCTAATAACACAAAATAGAAAAAAATGATCTACTCAAATCATCTGTCTTTACGTCAGTTTTCCTACAAATTTTAGGTAAGTCTGAATTCAGTTATGTTTGATGAAAATGAGGAAACAAAAAACCAAGCTTCCAGCTTCAATTTTATCCTGAAAAGGAATAATTTGTTGAAGTGAAAGCCTGTGCTTTGGTTGTTAAATCACCTGGTAGCTACTTCTCCTATTTCTTCCTCTGCATTTTCCAACTCCTCTACTTCCAATTGCCCAATTAATAGTGCATGATTCTTATACTCTGCTAGTAACCCATTTGGGGGTTATATGTGGCAATAAAAATTAAAAGCTCAAACCATTCAATCCAAATGAAGACTACAGTAAAAACCAAATATCTGTGTGAATAAAAAGCCTTTAGTTTTATATAAAAAATATGTATCACAGAAAAATAAAATCTTAAAAATTTACATTAACACTATTAACAAAATTAATTAACAAAATGTTACACTCCAAGTTCACTAACAGCTACAAGGTTCATAATGATTTGGAGCTTAGCCACAAAATATACTTTCTGACAAACTAAAGGGTGAAAAGTCTGTATTTCAATTTTTGAAATCACACTAAAATATATTGATATGTATTAATATCATATGTTAAATGGTAGTATTTAATTGTGCTTGTATAATACAATGCATTTCTAGGAGGCTCATCTATTAGTAAATAATATCCCATATATTCATGGTACAGCCAAAAAAGTAATACTATAAATAGTTGAAAATAATGCGATACTATAAATTAGCTTATGGAAACAATTCTATTTTATAATCACACCCACATATGCTCAATTTTTTTCTCATTTGATACATCTGTTGTCAAGTTTTATGTAATTAATAAGTTGTTACTGGGATATGCTTGATTGAAAATGACCATGTGACATAAGTCTAAATAAACATAAATTGTTCAAATACATACTTACTGTGTGTATACCTTAGAATACCTCTGGGTGTTTCAGTTAATACCAAAATTTGTAAGGTGTGATAACTATACTCTATTACAACTATCCAAAATAGCAATTGTTATTTTCCAGAAACATGTATTTTCCAAGCACATCAACTTTATATGTGACAAGTTTATACTCATACTGGCACTCAAACTATTTACTAAAGAGAGGTATAAATGTACTAATCTAATGATTTTTTTGACAGAGGCATCACATGTAAAATCTGATATAAGGATACATAAGAAATGCAAAAGTTCATTCTATTATTATACAGTAGGGAATCTGATTCTACATGAATCCACAACACTTTTAAACCTCATTTTAACAATTAACTTCAAGTTCACCAAAGTCTTCAAACAACCTCAAGACAGACTCAAGTAATCTATTTTTATTCCTTTCCCCACCTTGGTAAAGGTACTACTAAATAACAATGAACAGAAGAGACCCAGAAAACATGGACTTAGATAATCTTTCCCAAGTAGACACAGTTACTTATACATTGATACTTTTTTAAAGTATCAAACTTCCTTTGAAAATGACAAGAAAAGTAATGAAGTCTATCAAGATATTGGTATAACAGAACTGATAACCTTCCTTGATCCTTAATAAGTTTCTATTTTCTTTTGTGAATTATGAAATGTTCATTATATCACATATAAGTTATACATATTGTAGAATGCCTTTAGGTGAAAAGTATAGAATTTGTGCCATCTGCTGGGGCTCTGAAGACAGAAAGAAGGATTGCTATAAAAGACTACCAAGAGGGGCGCCTGGGGGGCGCCTGGGTGGCTCAGACGGTTAAGCGTCTGCCTTCGGCTCAGGTCATGATCCTGGAGTCCCTGGATCGAGTCCCGCATCGGGCTCCCTGCTC